ACGAACAGAAGATCCCAATTGATTTTGGAAACTCCCCACTTTCACCTGAGTGGAAGAAGAGAATAACCTCTGTGTTGAACTCCATGCCTGATGTCTTTGCTTTAAATGATTTGGATTACGGACACACAGATAAAGTAAAACACAGAATAAAGCTTAATGATAAAACACCATTCAAGCATCGAGCTCGTCCAATTCATCCCCAAGATGTGGATGCAGTCAGGAAGCATCTCCAAGAACTGTTGGAGGCAGGTATCATCAGGGAGTCAGAATCTCCATTTTCGTCTCCAATAGTCATTGTACGGAAGAAAAACAACTCTGTGCGCCTGTGTATTGACTTCCGCAAGTTAAACTCCCAGACCATAAAGGATGCGTACGCCCTTCCTAACCTGGAAGAAGCTTTTTCAGTCCTAACTGGATCAAGATGGTTTTCAGTCCTTGATTTAAAGTCAGGCTATTATCAGATTGAGATGGAAGACGCTGATAAGCAAAAAACCGCCTTTGTATGCCCACTAGGTTTTTGGGAATTTAACCGGATGCCACAGGGAATCACAAACGCACCAAGCACATTCCAACGGCTTATGGAACGTTGTATGGGAGATTTGAACCGGAAGGAAGTTCTTGTGTTCATCGACGACCTCATTGTTTTCTCAGAAACTTTGGAGGAACATGAGACAAGATTAATGCAAGTGCTTAAAAGACTTAAGGAGTTTGGATTAAAGCTTTCACCAGAAAAGTGCAAGTTTTGTCAAACCTCTGTTAAATACTTGGGCCACATTGTTTCTCAACATGGAGTGGAAACTGATCCATCTAAAGTAGAAGCCCTAAAAACCTGGCCAAGACCGAATAATCTAAAGGAGTTAAGATCTTTCCTTGGATTTTCAGGGTACTACAGAAGATTTGTGCAAGATTACTCTAAAATAGTAAAACCACTCAATGATCTTACTGCAGGATATCCACCACTGCAGAAGCATTGTAACAAAAAGAGAGATGAGACCAAACAGTACTTTAACCCAAAGGAACAGTTTGAAGAAAGGTGGACTCTGGAATGTCAGCAAGCGTTTGACACTGTCATTGAAAAACTTACATCTGCTCCAGTCTTAGGATTCGCTGATCCAAAGTTGCCATATGTGTTGCACACAGATGCCAGTACCACCGGCCTTGGTGCAGCCCTATATCAAGAGCAAGATGGGCAGAAAAGAGTCATTGCCTTTGCAAGCAGAGGTCTTACCAAGAGTGAGGCGAAATATCCAGCTCATAAGTTAGAGTTCCTGGCGCTGAAGTGGGCAGTCACTGCTAAATTCAATGATTATCTGTATGGAGCTGACTTCACAGTGGTGACAGACAGTAATCCGCTGACATACGTTTTAACCTCTGCCAAACTGGATGCAACCAGCTACAGGTGGTTGTCGAGTCTGTCAACTTTTAACTTTAAAATTCAGTACAGAGCTGGAAACAGGAATCAGGATGCGGATGGTTTATCCAGACGTCCACAAGAAGCAATGCCTGATGATCTAGAAACAACAAAAGAGAGAGAGAGAATCCGACAGTTTGCTTATCATCACCTCACAGATGCGTCAAGTGCAGTTGTTTCATCTGAAGCAATAAAAGCCATCTGTGAACGTCATGAAGTTTGCCAGCCAAACAGTCACACTGATTCCTTGTACCAACCAGTGACCCTTGTAGAATCTCTTGCTGTTGGTGAAAATGTCTTACCTCAATCATTCCAGCAGGAAGAAACTTGTCGATCTGGTGAGATATTCCTTCTGTCAGAGCAAGATTTAAGGGAAAGACAGAGAGCAGATCCAGAAATTGGAATCATTATCAAACACCTAGAACATGAGGAAAAGCCTTGTCTTAAAACCATACCTTCTCATTTAGCCCTGTGGTTAAGAGAATGGAATCGCCTGGTGATGAAAAATGGAGTGCTTTTCAGGAAAAGGAACGAGCAAGGAAGTGAGTCATATCAGTTGGCATTACCTGTTAATCTTCGTGATGTAGTTATGAAGGAACTGCATGATGAGATGGGACACTTAGGCATTGAACGAACCCTTGATCTAGTTCGATCCAGATTCTTCTGGCCTAAAATGTCTTTGACCATAGAGCAGAAAGTGAAAACCTGTGAACGATGTATTCGACGAAAAACTCCTCCTGAGAAAGCCGCTCCATTAGTTAACATCAAAACCAGCAGGCCATTGGAGTTAGTTTGTATGGATTTCCTGTCAATTGAGCCTGACCAAAGTAACATTAAGGACATACTGGTCATAACCGACCATTTCACAAAGTATGCTGTGGCTGTGCCGACGAGAAATCAGAAGGCCCAGACGGTGGCCAAGACTCTGTGGGACAACTTTCTGGTGCATTATGGCTTTCCAGAAAAACTCCATAGTGACCAAGGTCCAGATTTCGAGTCTCGAACGATAAAAGAGTTGTGTAGAGTTGCAGGAATTTCCAAAACAAGAACTACTCCTTACCATCCAAGAGGTAATCCGGTAGAGCGGTTTAACCGGACTCTCCTTCAAATGCTGGGAACTTTGAATACAAAGGAGAAGTCAAACTGGAAGGATTTCGTAAAACCTCTCGTCCATGCATACAATTGCACAAGGAATGATGTGACTGGATTTTCACCATATGAACTTATGTTTGGAAGACAACCCAGATTACCGATTGACTTGGCTTTTGGTTTACCGGTCAGCAGTCAACCTGAATCCCATTCAAAATATGTGCAATCTCTAAAAAATCGTTTGGAAGAGAGCTACATGGTTGCTACTAAAAATGCTTCAAAAGTGGCTGCACGTAACAAGACAAGGTATGACCAACGTGTTGTTTCCTCAACTTTGAATGTGGGTGACCGCGTTCTTGTGAGAAATGTCCGTTTGAGAGGAAAACACAAGCTAGCAGATAAATGGGAATCTGATGTGTATGTTGTAGTCAAGAAGGCTGTTGAGTTGCCCGTCTATACAGTGAAGCCTGAAGGGAAGGATGGACCTCTTCGAACTTTACATCGAGATCTGTTATTGCCTTGTGGATTTCTACTGATGGACAAACCCAAAGAACCACTTGATAAGGAAGTGCCTGTGAAACCCAGAACCAGAGCCAGTTCTGCCAAAGAACTTGAGAAATGTGAATCTCAAAGTGAACATTCAGAAGATGACGATCTAAGTGAGAGCTATGCTCCTGAAAGGACTTTGGAAATTGAAACAAGAATTGTGTCAAATACAAATCCTGTTGCTTGTATCAGAAATCGACAAACAAAGAACTTACCAAGTGTGGAAACTGCGATAGAGCCAAGCACAGAATGTCCTATCCAGCATGAACCCATTAATGACAACTTACCTGAACCTGTGGAAAGAAATATACCATACTTACCTGAAGCTGAAGATCAAGATCTCCTATGTGAATCTGAAAGAGAAAATGTAGAGGAATTAATTAACCACCAATCTACAGAGAATGAAATAAATTATATTTCTTCACAAAAGGACCATACCCCTTGCCAGAGTCCTCTGATAGATCAAGATGAAATGCCTCAACCTGAAAAAACTCAAAGACGCAGTCAAAGATCCCATGAACCCCCCAAAAGACTTCAATATCCTCAGTTGGGAAATCCTCTCAGTATGGTGATCCAGTCCTTGCTATCAGGCCTGAGCACAGCGTTTACCAACTCCCTGGAAGAAAACCTGGAACAGTTTAATAGTGTGCCCACCATTGTGACTGTTCAACCCCAGATGCAGAGGGACCTGCATGCATTCAGGAGGGGAGAGTGTAACCCAGCTCACTGACTAGGTCACTAAAACAAATTATAAATAGTTTATTTTAAATTATAACATTTTATTTTATGATTGTGAGGAGAAATATTAAATAGTTCATTTATATTTTATACATAGTGTTTAAATAATAATAAATAGAGAATAAAGTAAGTTTTGACTTGGTGGAGGTCGGAGGTTAGCTCCGCCCCCTTGCGTGTGTGTGAGAGCTGCCGGTGACGGAGAGTCACTTTGATTAATCAGCGCGAGCAGATTGAACAACATTAGACACTGTGAAACAGAAGTTTAGATAATCCAAACGATCTAAAAATCATATTGTTTCGGTGATTGACTGAGAAAAGCCCTAAAGTTTCAGATTTTAAGGATAGGAAGCTGACAACAAGCAATAGAAACGAGAGAAGTGCGAGCGGAGCATATTAATGCGATCGAGAGAATAGAAAACTTATATTTGATCGAAACACATTCTTCTTTATTCTCCCTGTTCATCTTTATCTTTCCTTGGCCGGGTTTTTTTGTGTGTGTGCGTGTGTTCCCCTTTCGTTTCTGCTACAATATCCCGATCTGTCCCTGCCGTGGATGCTTTCTCGGCGGTCCGGACATGGCGAGCCGCTCTTTTGAAAGATCGTGCCTGGAAGTAAATTAATCTGTTGCTCATTGAACTGGTAGGACAAAACATTCTTGCACTTTCACTGCGCTCATATTTTTGTTTTTATTCAATTTTGGATTTTTTCTCTATCTGGACTGATTTTTTGGATTTTTCACATCGAACTGGAGCTAAAAGAACTTTTGAGTGTTGAACATTGAACTTGGACTCTGAATTACTACTTTTATTCAATCTTTTCCTTCGTTTTTTTTATTTTTCTTCCTCATTGTATACGATTTGTGAAACTGAATTTGTCTGAAGTGAGATTATCATCTGAAGTGTGGTGATTTCATTATATCTTTTATTGTTTTATTCTAGTATTCACCAAACTGAACTGTTTTGACATTTATTTATTTGTTTTATTTTGTTTTCCTCCTCCAACTTGTTTAAACAATATACTTACCTCAGTTATTCAACTTTATTTTTGAGTCTGACTTATTTGACTATCTAAAACTGGTTGTTATTTCTATACACTCTTGCGAGCGAATTAAAATCTTCTGACATCTGGTCCTAATAAGAAAATAGCAAATACTGTAAAAATAACACAATAGAAAACGCATCAATAACACATAGATAAGGGTTACAATTGCACAAACTGGTGAGGCATAACTTTGTGCAAAGTTTCTCTGTCTGGCCATACAATGGAGCGCTTCAGGTTTGCGTGCAGAAAAGAAATCATTTCACTAAATGTTCTGTAGACTGTCTTTGGTGAAACGTGAAAGAGGTGGGCTAAGTGTTGTGCAGGCAAATCCAGTCTGAGGCGCACAAAGGTTAGAAGCAGCATCTGAAATGGACTAAGAATTTTGTTTTGGTCAGGCATAAGGGGCACCAAAAAGTGAAATAAGGCCATAAAGGTTCCTAGGTTTGGGAGACTGGTGTAGTACTTTACTTTGTCATCATTATTGTTGAAAAATCCTTACGACATCCTGTATTTGTCCAGTTCACAACGCAGCTGTCGGTTCTCTTCCAAAAGACGGTTTACTTCCACGTACCTGTCAATGCACAATTTACATTCAGTTTGTGTCTCATGTACCTCAGTGTGTCTGTCACCATCTTCAACCTCATGTGTCACATCCTCTTCAGTGTGTCTGTCACCATCTTCAACCTCATGTGTCACCTCCTCTTCAGTGTGTCTGTCACCATCTTCAACCTCATGTGTCACCTCCTCTTCAGTGTGTCTGTCACCATCTTCAACCTCATGTGTCACCTCCTCTTCAGTGTGTCTGTCACCATCTTCAACCAGTGGTGCCCCCAGAAAATTTTCTTAGGGGTGGCCAGAAGAGACCGCACCAAATCTTGAGGTGGCACACTAAAAAAAATAATGAATTCAGTGTAATGTTATATTTTTGTTTCTGGTAAATGAAATAATGTAGTTTTTATTCATTTAATTAATTATTCTTGAAATTTTGCAATTTATTCCTTGAAATAATTCAGGAAGTACATGGTCAAACCAAATAAAAATCTATGTTTAGTTTAAAAACACTTTATATATATATATATATATACATATATATATACATACTGTATAAATAACTCTTTTTTTACATGCTTTTATTGTACATCATACGTTATATGACAAGTCTAAAATTAATGAAGATTAATGAGTTTATTATTCCCAGTGATGGGTTGCAGCTGGAAGGGCATCCGCTGTGTAAAAATGTGCTAGATAGGTTGGCGGTTCATTCCGCTGTGGTGACCCTGGATTAATAAAGGGACTAAGCCGAAAAAAAAAGTAAGAATATTGAGTTAATAATAACCCAAACAAATGAACAAACTGAACTAAAGGCATTTCTATATACACACTCACTATAGCCTACCTAATAATATCATTTATCCATATTAGTTTTTGAGCCATTTTATTAATGCAGCTTCTTCTATTGATATACTGTACCTTAAGGTAAATATTAAATTGCCATTGCTGTCTATTGAAGGTGTGTGCGTGCTGTCAACGACGATCGGGGAGGGTAGTGGGGGTTCTAGTTTAAATGACACCCTGGCAAACCACCCTATACACCCCCACCTCCCTTGAATTGTTAATTTGTTATTTAATAAATATAACAAACAACATAATAAAACAACAACTGGAGTGATATGCTAAGACCACTTAAGAAACCTTTTGCATGAAAATTAATTATAACAATTCTAAAGAATTATCTGTGGTCTTAGACCAGATCATGGCTGAGAAATCATGTTATGAAGTCTTACCTCCCTGACTCATTATCCATCCTTTTTGCTTTAAAGGCATGCTTAGTGAAAGTAACATCATCATCATCATCATCATCATATTATATAAACTTTAGTCGACTTTCAAAACTCGCTGCGTGCCGACACCTCTGCACACCTATTTTATTGGTGTGCATGCAAACAACCAACCGGGATTCACACAGGAGTGCGTGAGGCGCGCGGGAATGGTTTTCTGCGCGCATGCGTCAGTTTGCTTTCACCAGCATTGAACCAGAGGGGGAGAGCTACGTCAGTAACACCAACAATAATTTAGTGACTGCATTTTATTTATTTATTTATCTAAATATTGGGAATTTATAAGTTCATTTAAATCAATAATGTCAACAGCAAAATTATATTGGGGTGGCCACAGGGGTGGCCAGAGTTTACCGTGGGGTGGCCGTGGCCACCCCTGGCCACCCCTTGGGGGCGCCCCTGTCTTCAACCTCATGTGTCACCTCCTCTTCAGTGTGTCTGTCACCATCTTCAACCTCATGTGTCATTTCTTCTGTGTCTCATTCCTCCTCAGTGTGTCTCTCACAATCTTCAATCTCATTTCTCACCTTCTCTGCACGTCGTTCTCCCCCATGTTCAGCTGAGTGCAGTGTAGACTTTATTTCCCCCCTCCTGGTTCGTCTTGCAGAGCGTGCAGTGTTAGTCTGTTTAATTTCTGTGTGGCCCAGATGTAGAGATGGTGCCCAGTCTGGGTCGGTGTCCATCATTTCATAAGCAGGTTGGCCTGCATATGACAAAAATAGAAATGTAATTACAGCGAAACATTGTTCACATAGAAAGAATAAGTACAATAAAGCACTACATTGCTACATAGGGCAGTATGTCACTTATAAGCATAAGAAACCTGATAGGTTTAACGCTTAACCTCTTAAAGTATTAACTCAGTCATAGAATTTAATTTTCTTATAATTGTTCAATTCCTTAAATTAGATTTTTCAACAGTGATTTCCAAAATGATTAAAAAAAAACAGTTTCATAAAGCTGAGATGTGGAGTTTTCAAACATTTAACAAAAATGCTCTACATGAAGAAAAATTCTGGAAGGTTTTCAAAAAAATAAAAAAAACATAAATAAAGCATTTTACAAGGGGTGAGTAAATCAGCTAAAGTCAGTTATAACTTCCGTGAATTTAAATTATTTTCACAATTAGCTTTACTATCAGATTGTAAAATGTTGTACACTCAAAACAGAAGTGTTACATTGAATTAACATAAGCATTTAAAAGCCCAATCAATGATAATCGTAAAGTAGCTTAAAAAGTGCTTACCTTTGTGGAAATGTCGAGAGCAAACATACATATACGGAGATATGTTTGCAAAACATATATTTTTGCGTCTCACTGCAGCAACCCAGGCCATCCGACGTCTCTTTGTTATTTCTGCCACATTCTTTCCATATCCTTGCTTCCAGATGGGAAACTTAAAATATTTGTCGTTGTGATTAATTCTGTTTCCTTTTCGATCGTGCGACTTACTGTTACAGTTCTTAACGCAGCAAGAACGTACCATCGTGTTTGTTTTGAAAATCGCTTAGACCTGCAAACTGCTCTCGCTAACTCTGATACAACACAAATGGTGGCCAACACCCATAATGCAACTCGGCGGTCGCGAGGGTTACGTCACCTGACAAAGACTGATTGTTGATTCTAGCCAGTGTTTGCCGTAAGATTGGCCTTAAATTTTTTAAAGAATTCTTTTCTGAAGTTTTTAATGTTTACCATTTTGTGATAGTTTTGCTTTTTTTATATTATCCCTAAAGTTTTGTGCCTCAGATTTTTGCCTGTTGGCATTTTTTGTACATTTTGAAATATAGATTTTTTTCTGTTTTTCTAATGCATTTTGACAATGATTTGAAATGTATTTTTTGTAATGAACTCTGAAGAAGTAGTGTCTCACTGTTGGGTTCATTAACTTTCCGTGGCTCAGTGGTGGAATATTAACACTGTAACTGAAGAAGATTTCTATTCTCTCAGTGTAAAGTATTTTCTAAGTGTAAAGCAGTTAATTTTCTCTTCACAAAATGTATGTAGTGTTTGCAGCAAACATGCCAGCCTGTGTTAAAAATACAGTGATATGTCTGTGTAAGATGAGTATGCCTGCTCAGAAGCAACACTAGGAGAAGGCTGAGTGACTGATTGTGTAGAATAACTGAATATGTAAAGCACTGATTATATAGGTTAAATACTTCTATGAAGCTATATGTGTCAGAAGTTAGAATGAGTAACATATTATCAAGTTATTATCCTATCATAACAATGTATGTAAACACTTAATCCTTTGCATAAGTTGCATCTATACTTTGCTGACATAGACCTGTAACATCTCTGCTGACATGAGCTAGTGGGCTGAGAGCCAAGAATAGCAGGACCCCTTAGACTAGAAACCTATTCAAAAATGGTCAAGAGTTAAAAAGAGACTTAGGGGTGTGTCAAATAATCCTGTATAAAAATTGTAACAAACACACTGAAAGTTTAGAAGGTGCAGGAGAGACTTCAGAAGGTGTTCAGGAGAGACTTCAGAATGCTCTGGGGTCTGCTCTGTTCTTTCTCGGCTTTATTATGGAGAATAAAGTCTATTTTCTGATATTCAAAACCTCCGGTCTGTTAATTTGTAATTGATTAGACGTCGAATTTACGACAAATGGCGCCCAACGTGGGGCTGAGAAGAGACGATCAGGTGACACTGGACATGCTGAGGCTTGGAGGAAAAACACAAATATGTGGCCACGATAAAAAACGGTAAGCAATTTTAAGCTTATACGTTTGTGTTTTTTCTACCAAGGACCTGCTTGTAACGGTAAAAAATCACTTGAACTGTTTCTCCAGCTATAACGAACTACAAGTAAAACTAAAAAAGTAAAAGTAAAGATATAAAAGGAAAACAATGGGGTTTTGAATACCAGAAGAAAATAACAATTTGCATGCAAATGATCTGTGTTTTCCTAAGAGGGCCTTGACGGATAGGATAAACGTTAACTAGTAACTGTTACTCATGTTTGGGAAATTTTTTAATATTATGAAGAATATGCATAGAGCATTTTTAAGTTTTAAAAGGAAGTTCTTAAAGTGTGGTGACAGTTAAGAGATTAAAGCAGATTAATAAAGTAGAGAGAAGCGCGCAAAGACCTCGGAGTACCCGTTCTGTTTTAATAATAATAAATATTATTATGCAGGAGGCTGGGGGAAAAAAGGCACAAATCCTGTGAAGTGCTATTTTTACTGAAGAACAGTAAAGACGGGAGCAGAAGTAACAGGTCACTCAAGAGGAGTGTAGTGTAGTGTATTTATGTAATTGTTAGTATTTGTGTATTTGTCTGTGTTGGACTGAAGATACTGGTATGCAGAAGCTACCACCTTTGCTCTAGAGAGACTAGAATAGAGGTGAGGTTCAGGTTACACAGTGTAAGAGATGAGGTTAGAATGAGTGAGAAGTATGATTGTGTTTAGAAGTATGTTTGCAATAAGAGTGAGTTTAAAAGAATTATCGTTTTATATTATAATATAAAAGAAGGACTGCATATGTTGTGTGATTTAAGAACAATAAGATAGAGAGTGATGCAGTTTAGGGAAGAGATTGTGATACAGAGGAGGTTTAAGCCTCATAAAATTAATTGAGATCATATTGCATTTGAAAGACACGGACTGAAAAGAAGAATATATACTAGTTAAACATTTTTCTGAATAATCTCTGTGTTTGAAGTGTTTTTAAGTATGAACTAGGCAGAGAGGTGACTGAAATTCCTGACATGTCGACAGTCTGGAAGAAGGTCTGCTTCAGGAGTGGTAAGAATCTGTCTATTTTAAGAACAAAAGTTTCACAGGACAGATAGAAGCTAAAGAGTAAAGATATATTATAAGGTATTAAATAAATAGAAATATTATAAAGTAATGTAATAAGATAAATTAAATAAGAAAATATACATGATAGAATAAGATTTAATAAATAAAAAAGTGTTAATAAAAATGCAACTGGAAGCTATACTAATAAATATTAAGAAATTCAAAAATTGATGCATAGAAATATCTACATATGGAGATTAATAGTAATATTGATCAGGAAATAAATTTACTAAATCAGTATGAATAAAAATAGATAAGTTAATGAGTTGAGTAAATAAAGAATTAGAATAGAAAACTTTAATAAATATTGATTAATGGAAGAGTTAATGATCAAATGTTTAAGGAAAATAAGTTTAAAGAAAAATGAATTAGGAAAATCTAAGAGACAAAAATGCTAATTTTTGAAAAGGAAAAGAAGCATAGGAAAATGGAGAAAAAAAAAGGTCCAAACATTGTTTAATAGAATAAAAAGAGAAGAGGTTTAAAAATATATATTAAACAGATAAGATAAAAATTAGAAAAAACAGTAGCATTTTGAAGAAAACAAGATTTGGCTTTAAAAGATAAAATTATGTTTAAGTGCAATAAAAAAATGTTGTGGAGTAAGTTGACTGTTGTCATCTGTTTTAAAGTCAGCTACAGGCTGTCATCTGAGCCAACAGCTATTTGTAGTAAAAGCAGTGAGTCAGATATAAAGCATAGACACTGAGGAAAAATGAAAGAACATCATAGTGAGTTTAAAAATTATATAGTTAATATTTTATGTACTTAAAAGGTAATTGAGAATTAAAAATTGCATTTCAGATAGGAAAAATGCTTAAAGTAAACAAACATGTAGAGTTAAAATAGTACTATGAACTTGAAGCTATTGCAGTAAGGATTTTGAACAAGTATATTAGACATTAGGTCACCATATGGTACTGTTGAATTAAAACAGGTATATGGAAATGTTAGAGAAATTAAAATAATGTAAGATGTAATGTAACTAGTGAGGAAACACTAGAATAAGATTAGGAAAAATAAGTGAAGCACAATCTGAAGTCAAAGAAATTAATTATAAGAACATTTAAGAAATAGAAAATTAAGCATATTTACATATGATAAAAATGATTGAGAATTAGAAAAAATAAGTTGTTAAACAATAAACAAAAATAGATAAATAAATTAATTAATTAATAAAAGAAATGGATAAAAGGAGTCTTTATTTGATGAAGGAAAAAATGGGAAAAAAAAAAACAGTCATGAGCTAAATTCTATATATATTAATTAAGAGGACATAGGGATGAACTTTGGGGGACTGTAGTCTTGTACCTACCAGACATCTCTGAGTGCACTGGCAAATGGAAAGGTGTTTGAAAAACACAACGAGCAAAAAGGCTGTTGACACTTGTGACATGCTACAGCAGTGATGCAGGCACTGCATACTCAGGATTTACTGAGGACTGAAAAAGCTACATTTGTTCAGAGACATTCAAAAGAGACACTAACAAGAGACTGATGAACTGATCAAAAAGAGAAAACGCTCCACCAGAACTTTACATCAGCTGAGTCAAAGAAAGAAGCCAGCCCAAAGAGAGAGGGGGAAACACAGTGCCCTGATATGAAGGAATTTCAGGACAACATAGAAAAGACTGTTGCACCAATCTGTGAGCTATAGTTGTCTCAGGTTGCGAGGGGGGATAGTCTGACAGTCCATCTCAAAGTAGCTCCTAAAGTCTAAATTAAGTTCAAGCATTACAGAAGGAAAATTAAGAACAAAAGTGTAGCTACCCATTCTTGTATCAAATCAGACTCCTGTCAATTTGAGAGAAATTATTATCATGCAAATTTTTAAGTAAGAAAAAGTGTTATAAGGTAATTCTACAGTGAAACTTTAAATGTGTAATGATAAATTATGATGAATGTTAATATAATTTAGGTTTAAGTTTTAATAGGTGTAATCATAAAAGTCCTTAAACATTGAAGGATAAATTACAAGGCAGTAGATTGACTAAAGAAAAAGAGAAAAAGCTTTTGATAAGGCAACTAATAATTTGGACAATAAATAAGAATTGAATTAAGTATTTAAATTAAAATTAAGTAAAGGAAATATCTTAACATAATCATGTTATGAACGGCCTAAATCAAGATTGGATATTGAAAACTGGAAAGAGATTCAAATTTAGAAAAATGATTTATAGTTAAAGAGAAGATTGAAATAACAATTGAAATAAATTCATAAGATATAGTAAGGTCAAAAAGTAACAGTTCTAAATTACTATAAAACAAATTGAAAGAGAAAAGTCTTTAAGAAAAAGATAATGTTTTACATGAAAACATATGTGAAAAATAATTAGAAAAAAAAATATTAAGGAATAATAGTTAATAGAGTAATAATAATAATAGAGCAAAAAGAAATTTACAAAACATACAGTAAGTTTTAGTCAGCTGATAAAAAAAGTGCATCAAAATTGTATAAACAAGTAGTTTAATGGGAGTGCCTTAGGAAATAATTATGAGCCAAAAGAAAATAATTCAAAGACAAAAAAGGAATTAATATATAGATCAGAAAATAAATTAGCAAAGAAAGAAGTGTCAAATTCCAACTAAATGATTGTCATTACAGGACTGAGATGCAGATAAAATCAGCCAGCACAGTGAGGGTTAAAATGGATTAGATGCAGATCTGTCCAGAAATAAAACCACTAAATGATGAAATAGGTATAAAACTCTATTGAAAAGTGTAAAAATATAAGAGCACTAATAGAAACATCTAGATAATGTAATATGCAATCTGTCCTAGACATTTCTATTTAAATTTAAAGTAGTAATAAATTATAAGTAACTAATAATATTTAATTGAAGTTAATTTGATAATTAAAATAAATGGTTAATCAAGACAGATAAAATAGGCTTAATGTTGATAATATGATTTGAGAGCAATCAATAGGAGAA